ACAGGGAGCGTATGCAGCAGAAGCATCAAGCTTACAAGAGGAAAATGAAAGGAATATTAAGAAATGTGCACAAGACTGGGGCTAAGTGCCTGGCTGGCAAGCGCAAGATCCTGAGTTCAATTCCTAGTACAAGCAAGCAAGCAAGCAAGCAAGGAGAAAAAAAGAAAAAAAGAAAAAAGGGAGAAAGAAAGAAATGTGTGCAAGAAAATGAGTCACTACTCTTGCTGTTGGTTACGTGACAGGCAAGCAAATAAGCTTGTTCAGTCCTAGGTGACAGACAATGGTACTTTTGACACCCCAGTGATGCTGCATTTAAAATAAGTACAAAAGATCTAGGCATGGAGAAACATGCTTATAATCTCAGGATTTGATATTGAGGCAGGATTGCTGTGAGTTTGAGACCTGCCTTGGCTACACAGTGAGTTCAAGACCACTCTAGGGGCCAGGAATACACTCAGGCACTGTGTCTACTTGGCAAGTGCGAGGTCCTGAGTTTGATTTTTGATTTTAAAAAAAAGGCCAGTCTGAACTACAAAGTGAGACCTTGTCTCAAAAAACAAAACAAACAAACAAGAATGGTAATAAAGTAAGTACAGAAGGTAGAACTGGAATAAGAAGCAATGCATTGGAGTATTTTCCCTTTGGATGCCCCAAAAGCAATATATCATTCACAAAAGATTCTTCTTCTGCAACAGAAAGATTCTACTAATAATATACTCAAAATAAATGAACCTATATAGGTGTCACACACGTCTGTAATCCCAGAACTCTGGGAGTCTGAGACAGCAGGACTATAAATTTCAGCCCAGCCTGGGCAATTAGTCACTTAAGGAGGAACTGTCTGAAAATAAATTTTTTTTAAAAAAGGAAAAAAGGATTGGGGATGTAGCTCTGTGGGACGGACCTGAGTTCAATCTTCAGCACCGCAAAACTAACCAACCAACCTATACATACACCTAATGGCATCAATATTAAGACTCAAACCTATTTGATTCTAAGGAATAAGTATTCAAGGAACTGGCTAGTAAGTTTCAAGTTTACCTTTAAAATTTAGTTTAAATCAGTTTCAAGTTTACCTTTAAGATTTACTTTAAATCAGACCCAACAGATCTAGTTTAAATTATTCTTTAACCTGAGGGTTTCAATAAATAACATAATATCATGAAGCACTAAGTGGAAGAATTTTTGTTTCTCTTATGATAGGGTGGGTACAGGAAATAGCTTGAGTATGTGTGTAAGGAGAAGGAGGAAAGACAGAAGCTGTAGAGAAAATACATAGAATACAAGTATGGTGAATTTTAACAATGGAGACAAAGAATTATAATCCCACCTCATTAAAGCAAACATCTATTTCAGATAGAAGATCCACATTCCAGGTTATTTGTTGGGCATATGAGTAGCTGGGTGCCATTTCACTAAGCAATGGCTGATCATGTGTTATAAACAACCTAGTGTGCTTAGCACAGATCACCACAATGCAACCAGAGATCCACAAGGAAAGTCTCTGTTCTCTGATAGGTAATAATTGTATTTACAGAATTGCTTCTGTATTCTTCTATTTTTCTTGGTATGTATTTATTGATTAATTTAGGAGCACTGGAGATTGAACTTACGGCCTTCGCAATGACCACATTCCCATCCCTTTTTATTTTTGCTAAACTGCCCAAGTTAGATTTGTATTTGTGATCTGCCTACTAGAGTGCTGGAATCATAGGTATTACAGAAGTGCTCCATCACCTAGCTTTTTTATTTATTTTTTGCATTGCTGGAGATCAAATTCAGGGCTTTCTGCATGCTATGCAAGTGCTGTACCTCTGAGCTGCTCACCTCTAGTTCTTTAGCAAAGTAAATAGCTAAATACATCTTATTTACGGTAGGACACTGCTTTTCAAGTCATCCCTATCAGATGAGGTTGCAGTTTTCTAGGGAATATGAAAAAAAAAAAAAAGTAAATGTCATTGTGGTTTATGAGAAGGAAAAGAGTAAAAAGCAATTGTAAAAATCTATATTTTTGACAGATTCCTAAAATAAGAAAGAAACCATTTATTAAGGGGGATCATATAAGGCTCATTAAAATATATATACACTTTGAGCATCCTTCAGAAAAATACATTAAAATCAGAATACGAATAGGATTTGTTCACCAAATCCTGAAACTCTAGGAACAAGAGGTTAAATCTTTAGTATAAAGAATGTTAAAGGAATAGAAAAATATAGCTGTATCATACAGAAGTAAGAACCCTGAGGTAGGAAAAATGATCTGGTTCTAGCCCCCAACCTCACCCCTCCTCCAGATAATATAACCGTAGGACTTCTAAAAAATTTTTATTTATGTATGTATTTATTTTTAAAACAACTTTTACTATGCAACCCTGGCAGGCCTCAAACTCATGGTAATCCTCCTGCCTCAGCCTCCTGAGTGCTGGGATTATAGGTGGGTACCAACAAACCTGGTTTTCTGCAAAATACTTTTAGTTTATTGTCTGTAAAAAAGATACTGGAGCTGCCTTTTAGCACTCTATGACTATTATGAATCACTTCTAGAAACCAAATAGATGGGATATAAGCAATGAAAAAAAGGTAGAAAAGGTTGTGTCCTAGTATTTCTTTTTTGTTTGTTTGGTTTTTTTTTTTTTTTTTTTTTTTTTGTCTTTTTTGTTTTTATCGGTACCAGGGGTCAAACTCACAACTGTCTGCTTTGCAAGGCAGGCGCTTATGCCGCTGAGCTAAATCCCCAGCCCCGTGTCCTAGTATTTCAAATAGGATTTGTATTACACTTTAAGAATGGCTTCTAGACCCTTTATGGAAGACTGGAATATGAGAAGAATTGGTAATTCAACAGTCAATTGTCATTACTGAGGTAAAGGGTCTTAAAGGAAAACAAAAGAGCAAGCTTGTTTCTAGGGTTAAACTTTCCTAACAGCAAGCATGAAATAAACAAGGTGCCCCTCCTTATTAGCCAAGAAATATCATACTAGAATGCTATCAGCTCAGTATTTCTATCCAGTCCTACTCCCTTGACACTAAAGCACCATAGAAACATTCAGATAGAATTCCCACAGGTAAAGGATCCTTTCCAGTGGCTCTGCCAGGAGATATGTCTTCAGCCATCTGGAAGAATCTTTGGAGTCTGAAAAAATACACAAAGTCATATAAAATTGTTGTTTATAAGTAGCAAGCTATTTTACCATTATGTAAGGAAATTACATATTGGTATAAATATTTACAGGAAATATAAAAAATCCTTCCCTAAGACAATAAACCTTTTCTGTCCTGAATTATGTTTTCCTGTATAGTTATTACATTTCCTTTCTTTTTTCAGCCCTTATGGATGGATACTAAAAACATCTGAATCTAGTTAACTCCTAAAACAGACAAGTGATTTGTGCCGTCAGTCCAGGATTACTAATACAACAACTATATTTTTTAAAACTGCAGCCAGCTAGGAGTAGTGATACATTCTTGTAATCCCAGCACTTGGGAGGCTGAAGCAGGAGGATCCCTGCAAATTGGAGTCTAGCCTGGGTTACATTGTGAGTACAAGGTCAGTCTGTACTATAAAGCAAGACTGTCTCAAAACACAAAATGACGACAAAACTCACGTAAGTTCCTGAGACATTTAGATGTTTGTGTTTCATTTGCTGCAGCTAAAAAGCATCTTTATTTTTGCACTTGGTGGAGCACCTTTTGATGATGATAAATACTATGAACAAACAGGATGACTAGCTATGTATCAGAAATATTTTAAAAGATTTTTGTGTCAGAAATAGACAAACTGGCTGAGGCAGGAGGATTACTGCTGAGTTCGAGACCAGCCTGAGCGACAAAGTGAGCGCAAGGCCAGCCCTAACTGCATAGAGAGACCCCGTCTCAACAAAAACCAAAAAATAAATAAATAAATAAATAAACAATAAAAAAAAAAAAAAGAAAGAAATAGACAAACTAAGTAATCCAAAACATATTAACTTTTTAGAGAGTAAAACATTATTTTGTCTGAAACGCATTTCTAGCCTAGAAAGGGCATTCCTGAATTCCAGTCATTTCTGTTTTGGATGAAAGTGGACACAACAGGACAGTGCCACACTCATTACCTCAGAACTATGCAGAAAGCTGTTTCTTTTCTGTAGTTTGAGTAAGCTTGATCAAAATCCACGTTATAAAATCACCACACCACATCCGCAATGATTTTCCAGCAGATTAGGGCTCACCACACACAGGTGAAATCGCTTTTATCAAAGAGCACACGGTTGGACAAAGTATGTTTCGATTTTTCTAACCCTACAAGTTGGCTCAACCAGCTGTCCCCTAATAAGCCCCCGGGCCCCATCCCTCTTTCCATCTCTGGCTTCCGAGGCCTGTTCTGCAGTTCATCTGACATCTTCCCATTCTTTGGGAGCCTCAGGCTCCAACACGCCCTATAACAACTACATTAAGTTATTTTGTCATACGACAACAGCAAAGTACATGAGCTGACAAATCAGGGCTGGAGGCTTAACTAATACGGTTTCCCTCGGCTCCTTCACTCTCCGCAGCTAAAACGCCCTCACAAGTCTTAGGTTCTCCCGGGCCTGCTCCCTTCGCTCGGAACTGCTGCCCGAGCCTGCGGTGGCCCTCAGCTCTGGCTCCCTTCGGGTTCCTTCCCGTTCCCCGCGTCGCGATCCCCGCCCGAGCTCACGCTCACCCTGTTTCCCGATCTGAAGGGTCCTGGAGGCTGGGCGGCCGCCGAGCGAACCCCAAGCGACCCCTGGGATCGAAACTTGAAGGGGCCGAGAGCTCCTGCCGTCCCTGCCTTCCTCCCTCCCTCGGCACCTCCGGAGCTCTGGCCGCACGACCGCCCTCCGAGCATCCCGCCGCGGCCTCGCGGCGCCGGCCCCGGCTTCCGGCTTCCTCCTCAGTTCTGCTTCCCGCCGCCGGCCGAGCCCGAGCCCAAGCCCGAGCTCGAGCGCCGCGGTCCCGGCCGGCGCCCCGAGGCGGCCCCGTCCTCCCCGCCGCGGACTCACCGCTCGAAGAGCAGCCTCACAGAGAAGATGCCTGCGGCCAGCGGGAAGGCAGACAGGATGTGCCGCGCGCGTGGGTAGCCGTGGCCGTGGCCCTGGGCCTCCAGGTCGGCCCAGCTCACGTTCTGCGGCAGCCAGAAGCTCTCGCTCCACAGCCAGCCCCACAGCAGGCCTAGGGCTCCTGCCGCCGCAGTCGCCATCTTATGCCCGCCCTGCGGCCACCGCCGCCAGCGCCGCCACTCTCTCAGCTGCAGCCACGGCCAACGGGACCCGCGGGGAGGCGGCCCCGGGGCGGGGCCCAGTCGGCGGCCACCCCCGCCCGGCCCCTTCCAGGATGCGGCACCATCCGGCCCGCAGCCTCCGCGAGGCCGCGCCTCTTCACGCCCCACCTCGCCCGCGCCCGCAGCACCTTGGCCACCGCGGGCTGGCGGCCTCTCGCGCGGCGCTGCCCTCCTTCCAGCCCCGTCTTGGCCCGCACCGCCACGGCTCCTCGACTCCAGTGGCCCCGTGTTTGGGGTCAGGCTTCGCCGCTTCCTCCCCAGCACTCCAGGGCAGCCGCGGTCCGTCAGCCCCAGCTCGCTTCCAGCCCAGCCTTCGCTGGGATCTCGCTGGTGCCTCCTGCCTCCCTCCACCACTGGCATTTTAAAACTCCCAGTGTCTTCCTTCTTGCCTTTCTGTGAGCTCAACCCATTTCACCTCTTACTCCCTTCAAAATCATGATCACTTTTCCTCTGAAAAAACTGACTTCAGAAAGTCGTTTTATTCTTCTCACAGGGAGAAGAAAATGAAAAGCAACACGGAAAGGGAGTCGCCCAAAGGAAAATATGAAGGCAGCAAAATAGGCTGGGAGTGGTAGCTCAATGTTAAGAGCGTGTGCTTAGCAGGCAGGAAGCCCTGGGTTTAATCCCCAGCACACACACAAGTTGGCTAATATTTAGTGACGTTTACTATGTGCCAGGTACTGCACGGAACATTTTACTTAGGTTATTTCACTTTCACCCCATGAAGATACTACTTCACTATTCTATGGAGGAGTAAACTGAAGACCAGAGAGGCCAGCTTGCCAAAGGCTATGTAGATTAAAAGTGGCATCTACAAAGTCTTCAGACTCCAGAACTCTTAACCTGTATCCTATAAACTGCAGATTTTTGGTTCTCACACTGAACAGTGAGGTCTATGTGAATCTATATGAACAAAGAGGGCAGCCATAGCCTAGGTACCTTCAACAGACTAAACAATTGTCCCTCAAGTGCCCAGGAATCCTGAACTCTGTTAAAACCTGGACACAAAGTTATCAGGTTAACTATAATGATGGGGTGCGGGGCAGAAGTAAACCTCTATCTATCACCTTAGGATAAATTTTAACTAGGAAGGTATGCTTATACCAGAATTAAAAGTTGGGAGGGGCACATCCCAAGGAGTAAGATAAAGATTTACTTTAGTTCAGTGCTTTTCAAACTAACATTCATTAGCTCAGACTTTAGCTTTCCAATAGCCTACATGAAGGGAGACTGTATAAATTTTCTGGGATCAGGCAGAAGAATGTAATTTCAGAAGGTAAGAGCAGAGCCTATGAATTTCCTTTTTCTTCCCTGTTTTTATTTGGGGTAGGTGGGGGTGTGCTGGCCTGAGCATTGAACCCAGAGTCTCCTATATGAAAGGCAAGCACTCTAGAACTGAGCCCTGCATTTCTTATTCCTAACAAACTCAGAGGTGATGCCACTGCTGCTGGTATGAGAACCACTACCTAAAGCCATTTTCACCCAAACCTAGTTAATAATTTAATGGTAACTACCATATATTCAAGATAAACTTTAAAAGGAGGTATACTTCCCCTTGAATCCCAGAGGAATTTAAACCAGAACCCCCATGGAACCCAGAACATGAGCATGTGGGACCAGTGTACAGTGATCTTGGTCTGAGACTCTATTCAAAGTTTTTTCCCCTCAAAGTGAATTTATACTAGTTTCAGCCTCTTGACTGTTAGGAAACATATTGCTGATGAAATATGTGATGACAAAATCTTGACACACCTTTCACTTTGGCTAAGTGTGCTATCATCAGTAAGCTGCTGGGACCCTGCTGGTCTACTAACAGTCATGAGTAGAGTCTCTGTAACCATCTAAGGCCCCAAACTGGCTCTTTTCCTGCTTGGCCAACAGAAATACTGGCCTCATTCTCTTTTCACCAACATACCAAGTCCAAACAAGGTTGCCTTCATTTAGAGAGCTGAAAGGGAGAAATGATTAATATTTTTTTGTTTGGCTGTAGGTTTTTTTTTTTTTTTCATAAGAATTGTTGCATTATCTGGAAATACTCCTGAAAAGGAAATCCTATTTTTAGCATGGGCCTACACTTTGTTTCTGTACCTTTACAGAAATGCTTATTCCAGCCCTTGAAAGGTACAGCTAAGGGTTCTTAAAAGAAGACTCAGTCCCTAAATATCTGATATATGGTGACTTATTTAACCATTGGTACTAAGACATTTTTACAAGGTCAGTACTTATGTTGTGTAACATCAGTACAGGTTACAAAAGCCAACAGTTATATACTGAGGGTTGCTAAACTCAAGCCAAAACCGCATACTTTGTTATAGGGCTCCTGGGTTAACTATTCTGTAAACAGGGATTTGTAAGTGACTCTAGCTTGGGGTGGAAATAATAGTAATACTAGACAGAGGAGACCCAGGAACATACACGGATGCTGCAAAATGTAACAAAGGATTCAAAAAAGCATTATCTATGTCCAAGGAAATCTGTATTTCCAACCTACTCTTAAATATTTAACAATTGGAACAGTTGTTTCTACAAAAGGAAACAACCAACCAAAAATGCCTCTGCCCAAAGTGGAAAATCTATCTATTTTCAGTAGAGGGATTTGGAAATTCTATTTAGCATGTTAGGCATAATTCTAAAGTGAATTATTAAATGTTGAATATAGTAATAAAAATCACCACTGGATTTTGAATTGTTAAAACAAACAGCTCATTTTGAATGCACACACTAATTTTCTTGCCAAGTTGCTTGCATTTTCCAAAAAAAAAAAATTTTTTTTCAGAGCAGGAAAATTCCAAATTCAGCCCAACATCACCACCTAGTGGTGGAATATTTTTATAGTGCTTTTCTTTCTCTAAAACACAGACCCTCTTTGATTTTTCTTTCTTTTTTTTTTTTTTGTCTTTTTATTGGTACCGGGGATCGAACTCATGACTGCCTGCTTCCAAGGCAGGCGCTTATGCCGCTGAGCTAAATCCCCAGCCCCCCTCTTTGATTTTTCTTACCAAACTGCTAAATTAAACAAATCAGGATGGTTTCTAACAATGTGTAAGTGGAAAAGGAGCACTGACAAGTTCAAATTAAATTAAAACCTTTATTGAATAAGAATGTCCCAGACTAATCAAAACAGTAAGAAAACAGAATATTTTACATCTCTAAGAAATATTAGAGTTCAATCTCTAATGCAGTACAAAGAAAAGCCTATATCTTGAAATACATCTTTCTCCCCTACATACAATTTGGAATATCAATTATGTACAACAAATGTACTCAAGCTCATATGTTCCAAGCCTTAATACTAAGGAAAACTATTTCAATAAAAAGGCCTATCACTCATTGATTTCTCTCTGGGAATAGTCTGCCATAAAAAATCAGTACACTTCAGAGATAAGTAAAAATCAGTGTCTCAGAAAGATGATATCAGAAGTGAAATACAGGTCTGGAGACCTGAGATTAAGTGGGTTAAGGCAATTCTTTCCGTTATTCTTCCCTTGAACTCACTTTGCCTTAATATGGAGCTTGGTGAATAATGATCCAAAGGTCTTACAAAAAATATTGCAATCTTCGGTAAATTTTGAAAAGCAAAGATACTACAAAAAAGAAAGCAATCACTTGGGGTGTAGTCAAACTCACTGGCAAATACCACAGAATATTTGGAAGACAGTGGATCTCTCCAATCACTAAAACTTGCAGGTTGGTTCTTCAATTATCTGAAAAGATGCTCTGAAAAGGCAGCTATCTTGTACTTCAATAATTCAAGATGTAAAGAGTAGGATGCAAAGTGATACATTCCCCATATAATCAGAGTAACAAAATTAACCTAAAAAAATCTTAGAAGACTAAATATTTGATCTCTTAACAGCTGAATACTAAAAAATCAAATTCGTATACATTTAAAAATATACAAAGTATGCCCTTTATACTAAAGTGCATTCAATCATAATGTTTAGACCTTTAAGTCCCTGTGTATGTTCTCTTATTTCCACAATTGTATATAAAAATGTACTATTAATCATCTATCTACTTTAATATTATCTTTTGGGAATATAGTGGAATCTGGATTATAACCATTGGAATATTTCCCTGCTTATAAGCACTTATACATATCATTAAAATTTAAGATTAATTTATCATTAAAATGTAAGATTTAAGAAATGTTATCTTTAGCACTTAGAACTGGTTTGTGTTTTTTGTTTTTGTTGTTTTTGAGACAAGGTCTCACTATGTTACCCAGGCTGGCCTCCTGCATGCTGGGGTTATAGCACCACACCTGAGTAGAATTGTGTTACTGCAGTATGTTTCTTTGTTTTTGTTTTTGGTAGCAGGAATTCATTTCCAAAGTTGCTTCCACAAAAATGACAGTTCATGTAGGATTCTCATTTCTTGCCTCACTTTGACAAAGGGCAGTGGCCTACTAAAACTAAGATGAATTTAATTCCCAGCACATTGTAGTTTGTCATTCTTCATCATCATCATCATCATAGTACCGATTTCTCTTTATCTGTTCTTCTACAGACAGCTCTTTGACCACATCTCCTTCCCAGAATCCCATATCCTGGGATTTCTGATTCTGAGTAGTGAATTCTTTAGGGGAGGTGTTATCTGCAAAGCTGGACCACTTTGGAGTCTTGGGTTCTACTGGAGACTGCTCTTTGAGGAAGCTGCTATATTCATCGTTGAGGTTTGCGCCATTTTCTACAAGATTCTCACTCCTCATCTCAAAACTATGAATTTCCCTACTTCTCCTCCCTGCCTCTCCTCTGGTAGACTCCTTATTCTGCCCCACGCTCCCATTCTTCTCAGGAACCCTGGCATTTTCCACTTGTTTCCTTTCTGCCACTACTTCCTCTGCAAACTCTTCATTCTGGTCTGACATGCTCCAGCCTTTTCTGACAGGTGGGTGCAAATTTTTGGGGTTCTTGACAGAGGAGGTTCGGAATGAAGCTGCGACAGTGAACGGGCGGCTTCTCTCTCTCAGTGATGAAGACCGTCGTAGTTTTTTCAGATCCAAATCTATGTCCTCAGGAGCTTCTGGCTTGCTCACTTCATCCTCAGGGGGCCATTTGGGTTTAGATACTTTGATTCCTTCCTCCAAGCTATTTCCAGAGCTGCCAAGTTCAGCTGGGGGAGGCCAGGCGATCTTCAGCTTCTTGGTCTCAGCTGGCTTGTCTTCCTTTTCTGGCTGAGAGGAGGCCTTGGCTTCCATACTCGCGGCCAGCACACCTACCTTGGCAATGGGGGCATCTTCTACCCCTGGGCTCTGGGGCGTTTCCACCGCATTTGGAAGTTGAGCTGGTCTCTCCAGGGACTCCTCAGTTTCGTTTCTGTTTGCCCACAGATCTTTGTGTGGTCTGTGCCCAAAGCCTTCATCATAGTTGCCTTTAGATTTAAAAAGTTGATTGAAGTGAGGCTTACAATAGATTCTCCCATGTAAAGACGCATATGTCCCTAGACTGTCAGAAAAAGAACACAAGTTAACAAATCTTACTATTCTCATTTATATTAGCAGTCTAACATCTGGCATTTCCAGTATTTTATTTATTTATTTTTTTTATCGTTACCGGGGATCGAACTCAGACCGCCTGCTTACAAGGCAGGTGCTTATGCCATTGAGCTAAATCCCCAGCCCCATTTCCAGTATTTTCAAAAGATGCTAAATGAGAGCCGGGGATTTAGTTCAGTGGCAATAAGTGCCTACCTGCCAAGTTTTAGGTCATGAGTTCGATCCCTAGTACAAAAAAAAAAAAAAAGATGCTAAGTGAGAAAAATATCTTTAAAAGCACAGCAATGAACTACTTCCTTTTAGACATACATATATATGTTTAATCCTTACATGAAACATACTTGTGTCTAAGACTAAGCCCTCACAAGTCATTCTTCCACCTGGTATGTGCTCGCCATTTTCAAATGACTTCACTCTCCTCTATCAAAATTCTTTTTTTTTGGCACCGGGGACCAAACTCAAAATCTTGCACTTGCCAGGCAGGCGCTTATGCTGCTGAGCTAAATCCCTGGCCCTGTCAAAATTCTTTTAAATTACTTTTCCTGGAGAAGTTCTCCCTAGTTAATCATACCTAGCTCTGATTATTTTTATATTTCCTGAGTACCTGTAACTACTTGTGATGATGTTCCTTCACTAAAAAAACTGAAGCTGTTTTACTTTCCCATTTGTGCCATAATTTAAAAGCATAATGCTACAAAAATGGATATACTGCCCTAAAAACAGTTGGCACTCAGTAGCTCTTACTGACTGAATAAATGTAAGCTATGGGGCCAGGAATAAAGCTTAGAGGTAAGGTGCTCACCTAGCACGTCCAAGGCTCTAGATTTGATTCTCAGCCTGCGTACAAGCACCCGTGCACTGAGTAGGCTATGGGTAATAGAGTAACAGTGAGCAGCAGCCAGGAGGTTGGCCTTACTCAGTGTCAGTATTGGACAAATCTATATGTAGTCTCTTGCAGGGTGTGCTATGGATCCCCCAAAATCCTCACACCCTCATAGACCAGGCTGTGGAGAGGTGATTAGATTACAGGGGAGTATAAACTGGCTTGCTGTTAGGAGATGGGGGATCTGGTTGCAAGAAGTGTGTCACTGTGGGTGTGACCCCAAAAAGTATTATCTCCCTTCCTAGGTCCTCCCTTGAATCTGCTCCCTGTCCTCAATGTTGTAGTCAGCCCTCCTCTGCCATGGCCCTCTCTACTACCCCAACCTGCCTTGGAGTCAGCCTGAAATGTGAACAAAATAAACCTCTCCTCCCTTAAATTAAGGGTGTCAAGTCAGTGTCCCAGCAACTAAGAAAGCGATTTAGACATAGTTCAATGATATAGGCTTTTTTTGGGGGGGGGGCATCAGGGATTGAACTCATGACCTTGTGCTTACCAGGCAGGTACTTGTGCCACTGAGCTAAACCCCTGGCCCTAGGTCAATGTATTTTAAAAGGTTACAATAATGAAAGTATGTCATGAAAATAATGTGCTCCAGAGCAAAAACGAACTTTGCAGGTAGAAAAATAAACAACAACAACAACTAAAAACCCCAAAAAACCAACTGACTGGAAGTCACAGAGGCAGATTTTGGCTTAATATAAGAGGAAGTTGTTGCTGAGCATGGTGGCACAGTTTTGTAATCCTAGCACTCGAGAGGCTGAGGCAGGAGGATCAGTATATATTCAAGACCAGCCCGGGCTACATAGCAAGTCCTTGTCTCAAAAAAAAAAAAAAAAAAGAAGAAGAAGAAGAAAAAAAGGAAGAAAAAGAATGAGGAAGTTGTCTAGTTAGAGGTATCTAACACTGGCTGAAGCAATGATGAGGTATCTCCCGAGTGTATTTAGGAGAAGTGCTTGTTCTGTAAGGAAAATTGGGCAGAGAGACATCTTGAATGCTGACTTCTCTAAGGAGTTGACTAAAATGAGGCTTACAACAGATTAGAATGAATTAACATGGAATAATTTCCCAGTTTGTCACATTTATATCTTTGAGTTATTTAGAATGACACATACTAATTATTTTCTCAGAAATAAACAAAACAAAGAAGCACAGAGAAAACATGCTCTCCAGGGGCTATAATTATTGCTATTATTACCATTTATACAGTGCTTAAGGCACTGAAATAAGGGTTTAGGCGAGTAACCTCTTAGGAATTCTTAACTTTATGATTCTGTGATGCCAAGGGAAAATCATCTAGTAAATTAGGTCACAGGGGACTCTGTGTGCACTTCATATTATTTAAATATCAGTCCTAGCATGCAAACAAATATATCAATGCATCAAGACACCCCAAACAGCACTATAATTTGGCATGAAAGACCAGTCACTAAATCATGTTTTCTAATTTTTCAGGAGCTTCCAGGCAACACAATTAGCACAAATGCTTTTAGTATCAGTGCCATAAAAGCCAAAGATTCCTTTGGAGTTCCAAGTACAGAGAGAGATGGCTTTTTTGGTCTGGCTTACCTAAGTTTGTTGTTGCAATAGGAGCAACGGAAGCAGCTGATGTGAAACACCTGTTGATTGGCCAGAAGACGCTCCATGGGGTAGACTGTCTTCTGGCATTCAACACAGGTCTCTCTGGCAGGTGCCTGAAACTTCTAGGAAAAGGAAAAGGACTTTAGTGTAGGCAGTGATGGGCTAGTCCTCTGCTAAGATGTGCCCTAGGATCTGTTCTTTAAGGGCTCCCTTAGCTGGCCCATCAATGTTCACAGGACACTAAAAACCTGTGTTCTGTCAGCTGACTCTTTAAAGCCAAGAGGTTCTACTGTATCCCCTCCTCAGACTCTCTGGCTGCCTAATGTAACAGCCACTGAGGACAGCTGGGCTTGGGCTACACTGCCGAGAAAGGTGTAAACAAACCACCACACACACAAGGTAAGGGCAAGGCAGAAAATGTCATCATAACACAGAAGAAGATATCTGATTCAAGTGCCAAGGATACATTATTATAAGAACAGATTCTAGGGCAACCCACTTGGGACCCCTACTGTCTCTTGGACAGAAGCTTTCTTTCTCTCAATAAATATATTTTTCTCGTTAAAAAAAAAAAAAACATTCTAACAGGGATAACTCTCAAGGCAAGCAAGAGCATTTGGCTTTAGGAATTAGGTAAAGGCAGTTAAGCATCTTTCATTCACCTACTCTTTTAATCTTATTTGCTCAATCAACTAAGTGTACTACTTTTTGATTTATTTATTTTACTTACTGGTATCGGTGTTAGAACTCATCACCTTGCGCTTGCCAGGCAGGTGCCTATATTGATGAGCTAAATCCCCGGCCCCTATTTTTTGGACTTAAAACAATTATTATTATATATTTTTTAGATAGAATCTTAAGGTGTAGTTTAGGCTGGCCTTGAACTCACTATGTAGCCTAGGTTGACCTCAAACTCACAGCCATCCTTCTGTGTCAGCTGCCTGAGTGCTGGGATACTAGTGTATGCCACATGCCCAGCAAGCATATTTTTAACAAGTCAAAACTGACACACAAGTGGAACAATTTATCACAGGCACAAACTGTTTTGTTAGGCCTAAAAGGAAGACTAGCCTATTAAGGTACTGTTTCTAAAAATCAGCAGAGAATAAAAGGAATGCAATGCAGAATACATTTTTTTTTTATTTTTAGACAGGGTCCTGCTATGTAGTGCAGGCTGGTCTTGAACTCACTATGTATCTCAGGCTGGCTTCAAACTCACTGCCATCCTCCTGACTCAGTCTCCCAAGTGCTAGGATTACAGGTGTGCATCACTATGTCTGGTTGACACTACATTTGTTAATGTTGGGAATTCATGAACAATTTTCTAAGTGTAGAGTAAGGTGGGCATATTGTATCAATCTGATAAAACTCAACCCTAAAAAATATAAAATAGTTGGTACTCCAGCACTAGTAAAAGCCAGAATTCCTGAAATAATAGGAGAGCCAAGCAGTTCGTATGTGTGAGTAACATTTGGCTTGTCCCAACATGACACCCCAACCAGCAATGCAGGAGGAAGTTTAGGTGGCACCCCGGCCAGTTGGCTCCCATCAGAAACACATGGCAGTAAATAATACAAATTACTTCCACAGCCCAGGATCAGAATCATTAATGCGCAAGATAGACTTGATTGAAAAGCCTAAAAATAGACCCATGAAAATTCAAACTACTGGTCACTTGCCATATGATTCACTAAGAAGGAAAACAAAACAGCAATAGTTTTCCAGTAGATTTGGACAGGACGTGGGAACAGAAAATGAGCATAAAATAGAAGTGAAGAGAAAGATCTACAAAGGGAGTTTAATAAAATTAGTGACAAACTCCCAAATAGTACCCAAAGGAGTTAAGAAATACCAAAAGAAATAACAAAATAAGAAATAACAAAACTGCGTAGAAATGTCAAGGTAATAGCAACCCATTTTATTCTAGGAGTAGAGTACTAAAAAAAATCTCAACACTCAAAAGACCAGCTTGGTGTGCCGGTGCATGCCTGTAACCTCAGCACTCAGGAGGCTGAGGCAGGAGGACTGCTGCAAGTTTGAAGCCAGTCTGGGTTATGTAAGTGAGTTCAAGGCCAGCCTGGACTACATAGTGTGACCCCCATCTTTAAAAAAAAAAAAAAAAAAAAAAAAGGACCGCAGGCAACAACTTAGTTACCACATGACCCAGTATAATACTGGAAGCTTTTGGAAATAAGGCATTACTTGGAACTCAGAACATTCTCATTGGACTGGACCTAAATGGAAATGTCTGCATTTGCAGTTTTAATTACGATTGCACAGCTGGGGATTTAGCAAAGGAGTGGAATGCTTGTCCAGCGCTTGAGGCCCTACTTTTGGTCCTCAACAACAAAAAATTTAAAAAAAAAGAAATTGCTGAGGATGTTAATTACATTTTCACAAAAAGGACTAGGTGGTCCTTGCCCAGCAAGGAGAAGGCTGATTAAAATGCAGAGAAAGATTTGCATATAATAATACAATTGAAGCCCATGAAAGAGCCTGTCCAAATCCCAATTCATTAATATAAAAGTAATAGGACAAAAAAATAGGACAGAAATATTTGTCCGATTCAATTTCTTCCAGTTGCAAAGAGGGCACTCTGTATTTTAACACTTGAAATAGATTTAAGTATTCGGTGAGATTGGTAAAGACAGCAGCAGACAGAAACCTCACCCGTTGGTGTGAGAGGAAATGGGTGTTGTATAGGAGGGGAATGGAGGGACTTCCATAAACACAAACACAGAGACAAGGAACACATTGCAGAAGGGGGTAGCCCAGTGAACAGAAAAGAGAACATCAGAGAAAGTGAAGGTTGAGCTCACATTAGGAGGAAAGTAGAAGGCAGGAGCAGAAATTAGGTACCAGGAGCAGGAAGCAGAAGCTGGAAGAGACAAATAGGAACCTTCAATGAATACACAGCATTTGCAGTGCCCTGGAGTGCTTGACCACAGCCAATCTAAAACTCAGTAACTCTGAACCAAGAATAAGACTGTATTTTCTTTCTAAAAAGTAACTGTGCTAATCATGGCAAAATTAGCTTCACTAGTATCTCCCTGAAGGTAGGACATAAGCCAGCTTAAGAGAACAATCTTTCATGAGACTTCACCCACACAAAGAGTGTCTCATTAACCATTCTTTAGTGCTTTACCACCTCTCACACCTGGCTCACACTGGGTGTCTCTTTAAGGGAGTTTCACCCACAGAAAAGTCATCTTCCTCTTGAAGATCACCTTAATAGATTGTTCTCTCATCAGGTGCAGCCACAAGCTCCTAATGAGCCAGGCCAACCAGGTCCCCATTTCCGTCACTTCTCATGTAGTCCCTGGGATATTATTTAAGGCTTATGTGGCAGCTGCTGAAGGGACCACACAATGTAGTAAAGACAAGAGGACCCCAACATGGTAACATGCCAAGTCAGAGTGGCTGTGGCTCTGCTTTCACTTTATTTCCTCTGTCCTGGGCTCTCAGCCACTTTTCTGTAATTGCGCCCATGTCTATTCAAACAGGAAACATAATCAATGCCCAACACTTGCTCCCATTCTCATAGGCCTGGCATCTGTCCTGCCCATGCCTTTATGACACTCTCAAGCTTGGCACAGTCACATTTCAAACACTGCCAAAGAGCATGTTAGACATTTTAAAAATCTTTACAATATAGTTTTCTAGTTGGTAAGTACAGACTATTTTCATCCCTCTTCCCCCAATCATCTTTTATATATAGAAGCTAAAGTACCAAGATGTCAGGTGCTTATCAAAATTATACTCACTGGAACAGAATTAGAATTAAAACCTGGAACTCCTGATTCCCAAACCAACAGAGCATTTTCTAAATTGTCCTAGAATGTTAAATTTCCATAACTAAAGGAAAAGAGAAGCAGATGCAAACCCAAATGAAAATAATCTCACTGCAGCACTTTTAAAAAGCCAGTCTTCACTTGGTTTTAAATTAAAACGTACAGATAATACCTTCAGGATATTCTGGAATGAATGAGGTATATATAAATAATTCATGTTCATAAATACTACCTTTTCCACATGAGGGATATTACAGAACCCCACTTGATAAGCATCTACTTAAAATCATTTTTCCAACAAATTTTCCAATAAATTTGCATGGCTTTATCTACACTTTTTCACCCTTATGTCTTACATTTTCTTTTCAGTCTAATGAAACTTCACTTGGATAAGATAATGAAATCAGAATTCTGTATTGAGATGAGACCTCCTTTCCTCAGAACTCCACAAATACCTTCATTCCCTCTTTTCAATTTCTGCAAAATATCTAGGTAATAAAACTACAATTTTTCATCATACAGAAAATAGTTTCATCATATAGTAAATACATCAGCTCAGTGCAGCTTTCAACTTGCCATGAAACTCTTTGTGAAAACATGAGAGTTTTTTTTTCTTCTTGTACTAGTGATCAAACCCAGTGTCTCCATCGTGAGATACATTCCAGCTCTTTCTTATTTTCAGACAGGACTCACTACATTGCAAAGTTTCCCAGGCTGGGCTCAAACTTGTGATCCTATTGCCTCAGCCTCCCAGAGGGCTGGGAACACAGGCATGTGCCACCATGTGTGCCTAATATTCATATCTTACAGACTGCTCTATGTCCACAGAGGAAAGGTTAGTGCTCTAACAGACACCTAGACAGAAAAGAGTCTAGGTGCCTTTCTAGAGGAACTCTAGCTTAGTAAAGTAGCACCAGCCCATGACAAAGGCTGGGGCTGTAGCTCAGTGCTAGGCACCTGCCTAACGTGTGAGGCCCTGGCTTCTTGTCCCCAGCACCACTGTTGACCAGAAACCAGAAGGGGTGCTGCAACATGTCTTCTCACAGAGTCTGCTGGGCTTTCCTTCCACACCCAACAGTAGGGCCAGCTGAGGAGGTCTGGCTCTGGCTTGTCCTTAGCACAGAGAAGCCAAGAAGGCGTTCCCAGAGCCAGCTTCATCCCCTTGCTCTCCTCTTTCTCCCTGCTCCCCTCTGGGAACATTCAGTGGAGGACTTCTGTCAGCTGGAAAGAGAAAGCTTAAGAGATCTTGGAGTCTCACTTTCCCCCTTTTTTACTGTGCTATAGCTGACAATTTAAAATCTTGTGAGTCTCATGAAGTATAAACAGGTATACTTCTCACAGGGTCTGCTGAGCTCTGCTCGCAGAACATCCTTTTAAGAAGGACATGCAATTTCAATTTTATTAGCACCAAGTCACATCAATTAAACTACATGGCCAGTGTTCAAGGAGAACAAAATCCTTACTGCCCCCCTCTTCATGAAGCTAAATTTGAAATGAAGTAAGTCTCTACCTTAGATGTCCTATTTCCAATAACAGACAGATGGGCACTAAGGAACAGTTTTTTCTAGGATATGTGGGATCCAAAAATCTATTCTGAGTGAACAATATATTTTTAGCTGCATGTAATTTCCCTAAGTGGAGAAACAATTTCTGCTGCAGTCTAGAGCCATGAGACCAGTTATACCAACAGGTCTTCTTGTATACATTAACTAAAACGTCTTGCTTGCCTGCAGACTGGTAAAAGGAAGTTCTGAGGAGAGAAAAAAATTGCCCTTTTGCCCTTAAATAAAAGCGGAAATGTAATTGAGTTCCACCCTCAGCCTCTGGACACCATGACTTTGAACTTTGGACTGTAGATAAGCATAGGTAGGCCACTTTATTCCAGTCTTCATCCAATGCTCTATACTGTCTGTAAAGGCAGAGATGTTTGCAGTCTACTGCTGAATAAACAGGACCAAAGGAGTATGTGTGGGACTGATCCAATTGCAGAGTTTTCTACCTCTGTCTATACTTGCTGGTGTACCTGGAAAGATCTACATGAGCTGTAGCATTTCACACAGAACTCATCAGTTCAGACCTTGCAGTTTGAATCAGGAAAGATCTCAACCTAGCACAAGATCAGTCCAAAATAATAGATGTCTGGTCTACCATCTGAAGGAGGAATGGCTGTGTTGAGCATTGAAACAGTCTCAAGAACAATTTTAGCTCTTAGATGAGCCAGAGAAATTCCCCAGGACCCTCCATCACACAGAAATCCATGACTAAGTCAGATCTGCCCACCTGTCTTTATTTTAACTTTGCTTTTTAGGGGGTGTGGTGAGGTGTGGTTCAGTTTCGAACCCAGAGCCTCCTATACACTAGGCAAATGCTCCACCACTGAGTTATTTCCTTAGTTCCTTCTATTTGCCATTTTTGATTCAAAACCCAAGAACTCACGTCTGGACAGGCTGGAAATGAAAGTAACCTGGTGGCATTTGCTGTCATTAGCTTTGGGGTGATGGAAAAATAAAGTACTGAGATCTGCATGAGCAGATCTCCAAGGCCAGAAGAGAGTTAGGTGGGATGCATGTGCAGACTGAGTCATCTCAGGTCATTTGTTCTCCCTTCCAACCCTGATTCCCCTTGGTGGTATTGGGGTCCGAACCCCAGGCTTTGCACTGAGCTATAACCTTTTGGGAGATAGATAGGGTCTCATTAAGTTGCCCAGGTTGGGCTGGAACTTTTGATCCTCCTGGCTTAGCCCTCTAGAGTGCTGGAATTACAGGTGTGTGCCACCACACATGATTCTCTTGTTACGTTTCTGTTGGAGACTATAAATTGTAAAATGACATAATATCTGTCCTAGGCTCTCCTTGCATTGCTTGCCTTGTGGGTGGGTGTGGAAATTCCCTTTTCTTGGTCAATGAAATTATCACCCAGGTGTGGGGATGGATCTTGGCTTATTTTCTTTCTGATATTAAACTTGCCCTTTCTACCACAGCCTCTGGGCTGTTCCAGGAAAAGCACCCACCCTTCTTCCCCACACTGGCTAATAAATAGCAACTAGCTTGGAGTGTCTTTGCCCATCATGAGGCATTGACTACCCAGCCTCCCATCATGCATTACTAAATTTGTCTGTTTCTTACTTTATCTTTTTTTTTTTTTTTACCAGTACCAGGGATCAAACTCACAACCATGCACTTGCAAGGCAGGCGCTTATGCTGCTGAGCTAAATCCCTAGCACTTTTTTTTCTTACTTACTTTATCTTTTGGCTGCACACATGATACAAGCAGTTGGAGATCTCGGCCAGGTCCCTGATGCTTATAAAGAAATCTACTCCTAAACTTCTGCTTCCTTTTGGATTTTTTGTGTTTATCTTCAAAACTATCCCTATCCTTTAAACCTTCCCTTTAAATCTTGGACTCTCCCGTTTTTTCCTTTTATTCCAGACCCTCATCTCTGCCCTTTTCTCTTCATTTTTCTTTCTTTTCTTTTCTTTTTTTTTTTTTTGTCTTTTTTGAAACAGGGTCTCACTATGTAGTTCAGGCTGGCCTTGAGCTCACTTTGTAGCTCAGGCTGATCTCGAACTTGCAACAATCCTCCCACCTCAGCCTCCTGAGTGCTGGGACTACAGGCGTGAACCACCATGCCCGGCTCTTCATTTTTCTTATGCACTAAAATAGATCCACACACAGTAAAGGCATATAAGTATGGAAGACAACAATACGAAGTTGGGGCAGCACAAACCACCTTTACCTAATTCTATCTTCTGAGTTTCTATCAAGCTAAAACTTTTGGCACAAGATCCAGCTATGAAAGAGCACCACGGAGAAAGATACTAAAGAAGTATGGGTATGTTTGATTATTAATCATATAGATGGAGAAATACTGCATTAACAGCATGTAACTGAAACATGTCAGCTGACAAACTTGAAATACATTTTGGAAAAAATATTTAAATCTTTTTTGGGTCAATTTTATGGGAATATATATTTGCTTATAGAGGGGGAAAGACTTTTTAAATTGGGGGATAAAAGGAGACTGGACATTGAATAGCCCAATAAAATTATCTTAGTATACAGAAATTTTGTTCATTGCTTAACATCTTATATTATACCCTAGTATAATTTTGCTTACATGCCAATTTTTTACAGAAATGGACTGGTCAACTCCCATTCCAGCAAACACATTCTTTCTGTAAAATGTTAACAATCAGTCAGGTTATGATCAAACCATTCAGAAGGCAGAGCCACTGTTCTTAAGTGACTGCACATTTCTATCTGATATGCTAATTTTAGTTTACCAGATATTTCATATTTCTCATTTTGTGGGCCTTCACCCGTTCACAGATCTATAAACTTAAATTTTTAAAAGTCTTATTACTTTATTTGGCTTCAAATTTTTGTAAAACTTCCATGAGTTTTCCAGATTTCGAACAGAGACATTAATGACCTTTCCCCATCCCGGCGCAAACACTTGAGCAGAAGAAAGATTTTCAGGAAAGCAATTTTTAAGTATATCCTTATTTGGAATTATTATCCCCAGGAAAAGAGAAACAGGTTACAATGAACATACTGTTCAATCAGCTCTACTAATAAGCCATGTCCCCAACCCAGATAGAGGCGGCTACCATACCTTCAATGTCTTGGGAGGGGAGCTTTCAGAAAGGCTGGAGGCTCTGGTGTCTGGACTCAGCATGGGGGACACAGACGGCTGCGCCTCATTCTTAACCTGAGAGTTACCTGCTCAAGTTACAAAACAACATTTTATAGTATCTCATAGGGAAGTCTTAGAATGGGTTCTTCTGGGGGCTGGGGATTTAGCTCAGCAGCATAAGTGCCTGCCTGTGAGTTCGATCCCTGGTACCAATTAAAAAAAAAAACCAAAAGAATGGGTTCTTCCAAAAAGCAAAAACTGGGCACCATGGATCATGGAATTTTTTTGGAATGTATTTTCAATGCCACAAAAAATACTATTCTTGGGGCTGGGGGGATAAAAACAAACAAACAAGCACTATTCTCTCTTTTTTTTTTTTTTTTGTCTTTTTCCTTTTTATCGGTACCAGGGATCAAACTCACGACTGCCTGCTTGCAAGGCAGGTGCTTACGCCACTGAGCTAAACCCCCAGCCCTTTTTTGGTTTCTTTTTTTTTTTTTTGTCTTTTTCCTTACAAACACTATTCTTGAAGCACTGTTCTTCTGTTTAAGAACAGTCTAAAAGTCTAGCTTTCAAGTTCTCTCACAAATGAGGCTGCTGTCATTTAGGAGGCTTACCCTGCCACACAGATGGAATCCAAACCACCCTGCATAAAGAACTTTCTGCCCCATAGCATTTGTTATTTATCAAAACTGTGGACTCCGATGTTTTTTGGTAGTTGGTACTCCCAATAACCTCTGAGTGCTTCAACTGAAAATGGGAAAATGGCAACACCTGCGGGCAGAACTCTCATGCCATGAATATGCATGTGTGTTGCATGTTTAATTTCACTATCCTGTGGTCAGACTTGTAGCAGATATCCATGGATAAAGACTGTAGAAAGGGGATCCACAAAGTTTTTTCATAGTCATCAAAGTGCCAACTGCATGAGTTAACTTCCTGCCAGTGTATTATCCTGTGGAACTCAGAAGCAGCATTTAAAAAATCCACTTACATAGCTACTAAGGAATCATAAAAAAAAGGCTCCTTAAAATCTAGAGTTGAGCCAACAAAAGTAGCAAAAGATTAAGGCTTACTTTAAAAAAAAGTTTTACAAACTTAATCAAAACCATAAGTATTTCTAGCGCAAGTAAAATGACTACAAAAGAAATGTTCCTGGATTTAAGCAGTAAGAGTTTTTCCCTGAAATATTAAGGTAGAGTTTATTAGAGATCTATGCAGCTCATACTTCTATTTTAGTTGTGGAGCTTTTATTGACTAGTAAACTCATTTTTTGGGGGGAATGCTAGAAATCTGTATCTATTTTAAGTAATGCACTGAAAATTAGAATGGAAAGTGGACATGGTGAAGTAAAAACAAAATACTTCTATCTTTGGGAGATGCAAAATGATTCCAAAATAGGGTAAAATGATTAAAAAATTCAACATCAGGAGGAAAACTTCTAAAGCCCTAAAGTGATACTCAAATACCAATGTATTGGTGAATGAATCTAGGGCCTTTGTACTGAGCTACACTCAGTGTCCCTTAAAGACAAGATCTAGCTAGATTGCCTAAGCTATGTTCAAGCTTCCAATCCTCCTGCTCAGATTCCCAGAATGCTAAGATTACAGGCATGTACCACCATGCCTGGCTCACATGCCAATTTTTTTTATACTGGTAAATGAATTAAATCTTTCTTGCACAAATCCCTGTTAAAGTAAAACTTCAAAATTACTTACACAGCTTTAAATCAGGAAGTTTAGTAGAGAGATACATTGAAGTATTCCATTTATCCCAAGTTAATCATATTTAATCGAACTTAACTTCTCTCCATGCCATGAAATGTGTGAAGGAAATTCAATCACCAGTCCTTAAAACTGAGTGGAAGCTTGATCAGCTAAACTGCTAGATTTAGTATGTGACTTTCTTAACAGTGACACCTCTGAACCAAGAATGAATGGAGAAGCACATCTTCCAAAGCTAAGGGCAAATGCTTACAGAAGTCATCTTCAGCTCGGGTGGAATGGTCTGTCAGTCTATTCTCAGTTGCAGAAATCTGCAAAAAAAAAAAAAGGGGGGGGGAGGATATATTAAGAATCACATTAAAAATAAAAGAGCAGACTGCTGTTAATGCTATAAAAACCTGCTGACTCTAGTCAGCCACTGGCTGCCTGGGGGAAATAACGGGCACCAGAACAGCTGAGCATTTAAACAAGCGGCAGCACAATGCCTTTTATGAGGATATTAACATGCCTCTCAATTACAGAGTAACGGGAGAAACAGACTGAGCTCTACTGCCGAAGTGTGTATCATCTCCCTTTATAAAAAAGCTTCTAAACCATATCATCTCACTCTTAAAAACCAGAGCAAAACAAAACCCCGTCAAAGAGAGCAAAGCACACCCAAGATGAGATGAAGTATTTAGACACAAGAACTATTCTTATTCAATTAATTTTCCTAATTACCATTTCCCAACCAAATGCACTTTTGCTGAAATAAGCTTGCCCACACAGATGACTTGCTGATAGCTAAAAAACAAATTTACCTAAAACTAACCTCCAAGAGTATCCTAAAAATCCCAGTCTCAAAATGGCAGTTCTTAACAAGACGGTGGATCTTATGCACAAGATAGATGCCTTTTTCCCAGGAGTCACCAAAGTTAAATAAAAGAATTCTCTACTAGTTTGTTCTCTTTTCGCCTAGCCCTTGGCCTTCCTGTATCAACTACCGCCCCCCCATTCCAAAAATCATGAAAGGTCAACAAGGGTCAATAATGTACATTTTTTAAAGTATGTCATTCAGACATTGGATTTTGTCGCTATAAACTGAGTGTCTAATGTACTGAATAAATTTACAATGGAGATTAAGCTGTTGGCTAACTGCACCTGAATGTCAACATGGTTGTTTTTTCTATGCTCTTTTCATTACAGGAATTCTGACATGGTGTGAACAAACCAGAATAATAACAGCTGACATTTGCTAAGCATTTATGATGTGCCAGGTATCAGATTGATCACATTAGGTATATTATTTCATTTAATGATATGAAATAATCTTCTGAAAGTTGTACATTTCTATAACAAGTTCCTCAGAGTTTGCTAATTTAGTAGGAGCAACCCTCCTGAGATGTTCTTTTCTCACCTCTAATTTAGTCACCTTGAACTTGTGGGCTAAACTTGATACCAATTTTGACACCACTGACATGGTCAATGAGATGACTTTATTGTAAGAACTTCCAGATAGGAGATTTTAATTCAGTGTTTCACTAAAGGAAAGCAAAAATTCATTCATAAGAGGAGAAAGGGAAGTACAATACCTTGACAAAAATGTTCCATTTCAAGAATAGAAAGTTAGAGTTACTCAGGTGTGGTGGAATATGCCAGCACTTGCAGCCTGAGGCAAGGAGGATTGTCATAAATTTGAGACTAGCTTACGCTATATAAAGTGAGTTTAAAGCCATCCTGAACAACATTGCATGCTCAAAAAAAAAAAAAAAGTTTGTCCTAGAATTTTTTTTTAAAAAACAGGGTCTCACTATGTGTAGTTCAGGCTGACCTTGAACTCATTATGTAGCCTCCACTGCCCTTCAACATGCAGAAATTCTCTTGTCTCAGCCTCCAGAGTGCTGGAATGATAGGTGTGTGCCCCACACCCAGATGTCCTAGCATTAATATCCTCAAGAAGCATGCTAAAGTTTACACAGTGATTAGGTACTGGTTAACAAAAGCTAGGCACACAGCCAGAAGTACAGCTAGGCTCTGAAAAAGGCTGCAAACTTTAAAGTAGTCAAAGGCGTATAAACCTGTAGTATTCACATAAAGAATACCGACTATTTTTATCCCTTCTTCCCCACCCACACTCCAATTTGTGATTCAGTTTTGCTAATGACCTTTTAGGCTATAATTAAAATGTTCTGATCTTCCAGTTAAACCCAGAGTTCTAGTTTCAAATCAGCATGAAGGCAATCAAGAAAGAAGCATGAAATTAGATACACAGACAACCCAAGCATTATGTTCCAGATGATTATTTCTCAAATTATATTCTTGGGGTAAGTATGGGAGGAATATCATGCTGAGATTATTTTTCCCTTAAATTTTTTTTACAGAATATAAGGAAAATTTCAAACATTGTTACTTATTTTCTTTTTGTTTTTCTTTTGAGACAGGATCTCACTAAGTTGCTAAATTGCCCAAGTTGGACTCAAGCTTCTGATCCACCTGTTTCAGCCTCCCAAAGTGCTGAGATTACAGGTGTGTACCACTGCACCTGGCTTCATTCATTATATTTAAAATAGTCTCTCATTTAAAACATGGGGAATCAGGCAGTTAAGGAGACAGCTACCACATGTGACCCTTGGACTAATGCAAGAACATTAGTTATTTGTTTCTAAGATTAATCACAGTATTAAATCATCTCATTCAACATCTGATTGTTATATTGACAAAGAAGACTAAAAAGATTGGGTAGGCTTGCAGAAAACATGATAAATTCATCTGGCATAAATACTGTTACTTACTGCAACTAAGCCATTCTTCCAACGATTTAAGTCATAAAATACAAATATGACTTGCTTAAAATCTTCTGTGCTTTTCCAGTGTGGCGAGTCTGTGTCCAAATGCTTGAGATGCTTTCCCAGACCTCGCCCTGGCCCTCTCTTCCCTGCTTCTTGCCACTGTTTCTTTGTACCTTACTCTAGCCAACTGCAAATCCCAAGCATGCCGTAGTCTTCGGTTTCCAAACTGTGTCTGCACACCCTTCTTCTTCTTAATCTTCCCTTCTTCACTCAGCCTCTTTCTGCACATTCTTTAAGACGTGGCTCAGACAGAACCTACTTGAGGAACTTAAGTTTCCTTCTCCCATGAACCCATCACACCATTACTCCTCTCTCCTTATACCCTGCTAGTTTTCTAGCACATAAAGAACACTTTACTTGTTTTTTGTTTTGTTTTGGTATTAGGGTTGAACTCAGGACTTTTGCACAGAGCTACATCCCCTTTCCTCCTTTTTTTTTTTTTAATTATGAGACAAGGTCTCCTTAAATTGCCCAGGCTGGGCTTGAATTTGCAATCCTGCCTCAGTCTTTCAGAGACCTGGGATTACAGGTGTTTAGTCCTGGGATTATAGGTGTTCATGATCTGATCATGCCCAGCTTTGTCTTTATTTTCTTTTTCTGTGCTTAGCATTTCCTATGATTATCATAGTACCCACCTTTCAAAATACTTTAAGTGAGGGCTAGGCATACAGTTTAATGGCAAAGCACATGTTTATTATATACAAGGCTCTGAGTATGACCCCCAGCAGTGCAAAACAAAAAACAAACTTTGAGCAAATGAATGAGATTTTCTTTTCTAAAATGTGTTAAATAAATTTGGTATAGTAACATATGCCATGTCCCAGTTACTTGGGAGGCTAAAGTGGGAGGATCTCTCAAAAGCACAAGTTCCAGACCAGCCTGAGCAAGACAGGCAGACTTTATTTAAAACAAACAAACAAAAAAAAAATGTGTTAAACTGGGCACGATGGCACATACCTATAATCCCATCACTCTGGGAGACTAAAGCAGGAGGAATGCAGGTTCAAACCCAGCCTGGGTAACATAATGATTTAGTGAGACCTTTTCTTGAAAAATAAGAAGAGGCTGGAAGTGGTTACCCATGCCTATAACCTCAGTACTCCATAGGCTGCGGCAGGAGGATTGCCATGAGTTCAAAACCAGCCTGGGCTACACAGTGAGCTCACAGCCAGCCTGTACTCTGTAGTGAGATCTTGACTCAAAAAAAAGGGTTAGGGATGTGGCTCCATGTGAAGACCCTGGGTTCAATCTTTAGTACTATAAAAACAAACAGAACACTATTAAGCATGTACTTAAATTCAGCATATACAAGTACTTTAAAAATAGTTATCTGTAATCAAACAGATTTTTTAAAATCTCTTTAGCTCTATGGCCTGTGAGCATTTGCTGAGCAAAAGAATTTTCCAATGAAGGCTCATTATCTGGTCAGCTGTAAAATGCAGAGCTTCCCAAGTGAAATTATGTGACCTGCAAAAATGACAATCTGTCCTGGCAGCTGTTACCAAATTCCCAGACACCCTCCAGCCTAGAGTTAAAGTGGCTTCTAATTTTAAGCATCTAATTTAGAACACATGCTTGTTTGGCAACAGGACACCAGACTTTTTTACCTACCTTTTCTAGCTCCTGATGGGAGGTGCAGGCCTCAGGACTTGGGGGCACATTCTCCTTTTGCTCCAATTTATGACTTTTGATTTCACCACCACTGGCTTTCAACTCATTCTGTCAAATAAAAATAGCCTTGAACCCTTTCAAAAATTCTCATCATTCCATTCTTCTCATAGCACATCTTTCAAATAAATGTGGAATGTTAAAAAAAAAAATTCTTTTTGGAGGCCACAGGTCCAAATCAACCCCTAAATCTCACAAGCAAGACTAGTGACTAGTGAAATGACAAAAGCAGCTGTGTGGCCACATACCTCAGTGTTAAATATCTGCTAAAGTGGACACTCATTAGAATATAGACATCAACAGGGACACACACACACACACACACACACACACACACACCCAGCACACCATGTTCTTGTGATTCACTCCTCTAGCAGCAGAGCTTGTGGAAATGCAAAGCTTGTGAGTTTTATCAGAAAGGACCATTCTGGAGCAGGGGAAAGGAGTTGCTAAGTGCCAATAATTAAGAAAATATACTGACCATATATATAAATGCCCGGCCTGGAAAAAGAGACAGTAATGATATATTCATATGAAAACAAACATAAAACAACCTTGCTCTGTGGAGCTTGATGTTTTTCACATAAAATTCATGCACTGTACAAATGACATACCTTATTCTTAATACTCTCAACATTAAAAAACCATTCATTAATATCATCTTACTTAACGAACAAACATAACAACTTTGTTTTCACAGCAAAAGACACTTGGAGGAGAATAGTAAAGTTAATTTATACACTTGATCTACATAGGGATAGATGAACATAAACATTTCCTACCTTTTTTGTTTTACTTTTTTATTTTTTTGGAACCAGGAATCAAACCCAGGACTCCATGCTTGCCAAACAGGTACTGTGCCACTGAGCTAAATCCCCAGCCTTTCCTTTCTTTAGTTTACTAGTAATTTAGTAATCTTGTTCCTTGCTGCTTTCCGTGGTTCTTTAAGCATTAGGAAAGGAGCAAAATAATTACAAGGCTAATGAAGGAAAAGGAAGGTGTGACTGTTTTCTTCAGGTAGGGTAATCCAGGTTAAGGCTCTGAGGATGCACTCAGTTTTGGCAGCCTGCCCTGCGGAACTCTACCTGGCAGCCCTGAAACTCACTCTGGACCCATCCTAAAGCCTTGCCTCCAGTGTCACGGCCAGAGGATGTGCTTTGACACAACTACATTCAGTGATGGGCCTGGGAAATTCTTTGGGGATGAGACAAAATGTACTTTTTACAAGAATTCCTAAAGTCCTTTCCACTCTTAAAAATCTCCAGGGCAGGGAAGCTGCAGTGTAGAAACTCTATTAGCGGTTTTGAAAAAAAGTCACAGAACAGGTTTTCCCACTTAGGGAGTCACCAGGACAGCACAGGAAGCTCTGTTGATCACCTGTCTAGTATATCTGTTGACCCGCTTTTTAAAGGAAGCCTAAATGTGTTTATCTCCATTCACTGTGAATAAAGAACTTGAGATATTCCACTTTTTAAAAGCTATCTCATTTTAAAACGACTGTGATAGTTATGACAGTTATACTAGTAATTTCTTTTAGTTCATTGAAAAGAAGGGTTTGGACTGGGGATTTAGCTGAGCGGCATAAGCACCTGCCTTACAAGCGTGCAGTTGTGAGCTTGATCCCCGGTACCAAAAAGAAAAAGAAAAAAGAAAGGTGTGTGCCAATATTGTTTGGTCAATATTTTATACCTATAACTTGTACTCTGAGTAACTACTATGAAGATAACAATATGCAATGTATTAACCATTGTTATTGTCCTATTTTCTTGTTTTGAAATTTTGTTTTTGGGGGCTGGGGATTTAGCTCAGCGGCATAAGCGCCTGCCTTGCAAGTAGGCAGTCATGAGTTCGATCCCCGGTACCGATAAAAAGGAAAAAGACAAAAAAAAAAAAAAATTTTTTTTGTTTTTGCTTTTTCTCTTTAAAATAAAAATTAGTTAATTTAAAAAATCAAGGTGAAATCATTCATTGTCCAGATGATTAGTCTACCAATATGTACTATTACAGCACACATATTTAATTTTGTGAAGGGAAAGAGGGCTTAACTTCTGAAATACACACCACAAGTTCAAAAACGCACCAGTGTCAGTTAGCCTAGGATCAAATAAAATTCAATATTATTCTTCTGGTTTTGTTAAAGAATTCTGACATCAACAGATTAATTTGAAATCTTGAAAAAAATACGTGAAAGAAAAATATGTACATAGGTGTTTTAAAAAAGAAAATTTTAAAATATGTGTCTAAAAAATACGTGTGTAGGGCCAGGGATTTAGCTCAGTGACATAAACACCTGCCAATGGCAAGTGTGAGGTCGTGGGTTCAATCCCCGGTACAAAAAAAAAAAAAAAAAAAAAAAAGTGTCTATATGTGTGCATACATATGAGTAAGTCATTTATTTTATTTCTTTTGTTTCCATTTGTAATTTGCTTTGAGAGTAAGTCATTTAAAAGCTAACTTCAGGGCTGGATGTGTAGCTCAGTGACACAGAGCTTGCCCTTAAAAAAAAAAAAAGGGTGTTTCTACTGAAATGAATAAGGTACTGCTTTTTTTTTTTTTTTTTGTCTTCTTCCTTTTTATTGGTACCGGGGATCGAACTCAGGAATGCCTGCTTGCAAAGCAGGCACTTATGCCACTGAGCTAAATCCCCAGCCCCTGTCTTTTTTTTTTTTTTGAGACAGGGTCTCTCTATGCAGTTCAGGCTGGCCTTGAGCTCATTTTGTAGCCCAGGCTGGTCTCGAACTCGCAATGATCCTCCTGCCTCAGCCTCCTGAGTGCTGGGATTATAGGTGTGAGCCACCATGCCTGGCTAAGATACTGCTTCTTTAACAATAATAATTAAGGGCTGGGAATTTAGCTCAGTGGCATAAGTGTTTGCCTGCCAAATGCAAGGTCATGAGTTTGATACCTGGTACCAAAAACAATAACAGTAACAAAAGATTAAGTAGCAGAGTCAGTAATACACAGAAAAATGAGTGGGGTATGAATGTAAGTGAGCTAGGAGAGAAAAATCCACATGAAGCGAGGGTAGGCTTTCTGTGAAGTGTGGCTGGAGGACCAGCCTGGTGAGCACTGGCTGGGGGAGGCAGTGAAGGATGATGCGGGACACATACTATATAGCTAGCTGAACCGCTCTGTTTGGACACAGCCGCCTGGTACTTGGCCATTCGATCCTTTATGGAGGTTTCTGAGAGGCGTGGGAGCTCCAGATTTCGACGATTCTCATTCTTCTCTGGGCTGAATGCAGAGGATGGCAAATGACCTGGAACAATGCAAATAACATGCTTTGTAAGAAAGAAGATAGAATATGATTCCATTGGTTTTCAGGTGCCAAGTTTTAGATCTTTGTCATCTAATGGCCAATTTCTAATATAAGAAGAATAAAGAAAGGAATCAGAAATATAATATTTGGAGAAATGAGATTGCAATATTACTATAATGTGCATTTCTTTGACTACTTGGGAGGCTGATGACTTACTTGTGCTTATTTTTTTCTTCTGTAAGGTATCTATAACTTCCCTCCCCAAGAAATGATAATTTCACTTTTAAGCTATTATCACCAGTAATACAATGAATTCTTTTGTTTTTGTTTTTGGTGTTGGGGATCAAACTTAGGGTCTTGCACACTTGCTTCCTGCGCTAGCTCCAGCTCTAGCTCCAGCCCCAGGAGAACCAATCTTGATCCAGTACACAACCCAGCCCCAGGTGACTGTGGGGCCGGAAGTGTCTGTAGCGCTTCACCCATCATTCCTCAAAGGACGCTACTGACGAAGGGGGATTAAAAATACAAGAAAAGCAACCTCATTTATAGAAAACAATGAGATTGGGAACAGACCGACTTTCTTCTAATTAGTGTCACTCTCCCTTTAAAAGCACTGGCTTGGAGTCCAAAGGCATTGCTATTGATGAGCACTTCCTAGAATTCCCATATGTAAAACTCACTGCTTACCTGGGCTTATTTCCAAGTCATCCAGAGAATAGTTGTTTTCAGAGATCCTTCTTCCACCTGCATTGTGGCTTTGGGCTCCAAGAATCTGTTTAGAAAACAAATGAACTTTGTATAAAAGATAGGAAATCATTTTTTAAAAATTAATTTCATTGGTACACTTTAGATATACATAGTGATCATGTTCATCATAAGGAATTTGTCCCTGTGTATGATAAATATTTACTTTTTCCCATTCCCCTCTCCTCAACCTCTTCTGCTTACAAAAATTTGTTTTCATTTTTTCCTTCTATTCTCTTTTTTTCTTTTCCCTTCCTTCCTTTCCTCTCCTCCCCTTCCCATTTGAACATTTCTTCTTGCTTCCCAATATCGATTATACTTTTTGGCCTTATTTACTCTTTCAGTTTCTCATGCCAGGGGAACAGTGCAACATTTAGCCATGTGTATCCAATATTTTTGGAGACAGGGTCTCACTTATGTGCCCAGGGTAGCTCAAACTTATGGCAATCTTCCTGCCGCAGCCTCCTCAGTGCTGTGTGCCACCACAACTGGAAAGATGAAAAATCTTGATAGATTGATCAAATATCTTTTATGAATACAATCTAGAAGGGATCAGTCTGTATTTATTTTTATAATCCGTAGATTTTTTTTTTCTTTTTTGAGACAGAGTCTTGTTAAGTAGCTAAATTGTTCATGCTGGGCTTGAATTTATTATTCTCCTATCTTAGCCTCCTAGAGTACTGGGATTACAGGCACACATCACCACACCAGGCTAGTTTTTTGAGGGAGGTAATGCTGGAGATCAAATCCAAGGCTTTGTGCACACCAGCCAAGTGCTTACTATACCCCAGCCTCATTCCACAGGCTTTTTAAAAAAAATTATAAAGATCAAGAATTACCTACTCACAGGTGCCCAGGGAAAAGCAAGTTCACTACATAGGTAGTGTTCTCTGCAAAAGATCACTACCTAGCCTGCAAAATCTACAATCCAGCTATTGGAGTAGAAAACTCATATCCCAGAGAAAAATGACACATAGCCCTTCAGCCTGATGGCAGGCTGACTATTCCTACCTACCTAACTTCTTCTCTGGGTATACTTTGCCTCATCCTTTACCCTTCAGGAAAAGCAAACTGCTTCGAGGATCATGACTTTGAAAGCGAGGTTCCCTCCCCCCAGATTATATGTTTGCTCCTCTTTTGCTGATTAAATGCCTGTTGCTTCAAGAGAATGCAAGCAATTTTGTGAAGTCTGACCTGCCTCTTTTACCTCACTTCAGGTAGTCCTTCCTGTGCTCTAATGGTAACCAGTCACACTTCTGTTCAATATTTATCATGCTATTATTATTATTATTTTGGTACTGCTCAGCTGTACACCTGTCCTATCATGCTATTATATGACTGCCCCTCTAAGCTGCCTGTAAATTCACTGAGGATAGACACCACACCTTTTCATCCTACATTTCTAGGATTTATAAGGGAGAATGATACAGATTTTTTAGAAAGTATTTTGTGATTCCTAAAAAATCCCCACATTTTATCTCTCACATCTTGGATAGATCTCTAATTAAAGTGACAAATTATAATTTTTAGCACCCGAAATGTAATGCAAGAGAAAATTACTTAGTGTCACAGAACATGCCCAAACATAGTACACAGTGTTATGTCAAGCATATTCAGTTTGCAAGGATAACCTTCAACTGGAACCTAGTTTCAACCTCAGTTTCATCTCATTGGAAAGCCAGTATGACAGAAGGTAAGACACATAGCACCCTAATAACACTAGCAAAAGTTATTAACCTTTACCTTCAATGGAATGATCAAAATAACATCAAATATCATAAAGGTGAGCTCTCACTTTTACAAGGTTTTTGTTGTTGTCGTTATCAAACCCCTCTCTTGAAGACAGAAAATATGCAACTTCAGAAGATTCAAGGACTCACTTGTTTAAGAATAATGTGTTACAAATTCAGTATATATTTAACATAATTTATCCCCAGTCAACTTTGATAGTTATACTATTAATTGAACCTGTGTCTAATAAAAATAAGCTGCACCAACCCTAATCTTGCCACATTATACTTGAGTCAGCAGCACTAATATTCACTCTATTCATATGACTCACATGGCTCAACATGCTTTGGCTCAGGAGCAGACCGTTTCCTGGATTGGAAAAGGAAAATCATCAGACAGCACAAAAAGAGGTTTGGCAGGCACCCTATACCCACCATTCTGGTTACTTTTTACTTGCTAATTTCAAAAGTCTGGAACTGCCTGGCAACATGGCTCATGCCTATAAGCCCAGCCCTTGGGAGGCTGAGGCAGGAGGATTGCTGTGAGTTTGAGGCCAGCCTGGGCTACATCAGCAAGTTCAAGGCCAGACTGAACTGCATAGTGACACCTTGTCTCAAAAAACAAAACAACAACAACAAAATAATTCTGGAACTCAATTTATATCCCCTAAAGGTACAGCTTGCCACTATAGAGACATGGAGGAAGCTTTGCAAGACAGCTCCTAGTGAAGGTTTTAGGTTAGTGCGGTGAACGGGAGGGGACTGTGGGACCAGGACTGCCTGTCTGCCTCTCCCCACACAATAAAGGGAGGAATTTCGCTGTGGTCCCCAATCCTGGGAGAATGTGTTACCCTTCAACAGGATGCCAAAAACCAACAGGTTTGCCTGATCGTGGATTGGAACCTTGTAAACAGTGAGCCAAAGTAAATCTTTTCTCTTTATAGGCTGAGTATGTCAAGTATTTAACAGTTAGAAAGCTGACATACTGATCCTTAACATAAATTCCACAGATTCATTCGAAATGTTGCACTGTAAGATAATCACCTAGAAAAAATTGTAAAAACTAGAATTTTCAGGCTTGATAAGGAAAGCCTAGAAGTAACATTTTTTTAAAACCCCCCCAAAATAATTTTGCATTCTTAACAGATATTTACATTTTGTAAAAATTAAAATTCAATCAGAATATCAAGAGGTTTTTTTCTTCTTTCTCCCTTTTTTTTTTTTTTTCTGTCTTTTTGAGACAGTGTCTTGCTATGTAGTTCAGACTGCCCTTGAATTCACTATGTAGCCCAGACTGGCCTCAAACTCACTGTGATTCTCCTGCCTCAGCTTCCCAAGTGCTGGAATTACAAGCAAGAGCTACCACACCTGGCTTTCTTTGTTTTTAGATGCATAAAACTTCCCATCTTTGGTAGCTTTTTATTTAAACCCATGGATTAAATAAGGGTCTTTGGAATAATTTTGGCATGTCTTCTGATCCATAATGTTACCAATACTCTGAATTATTTTATCCAAGTACTAAAAAACTGAATAAGCAAAGCCAGTTGGTTTTAGAAAAAATAGGGAGAAATGTCTCTGGCAATCAGAATTAGCCTCACTGTAGTTCTGCGGAAAGATGCAACTCTGCGATGGAACAGAGCTGGTCACACAGATCAGTGGGTTTCATTAGGCACATTTGTGTATGCCCATAACAAGAGAGATGGAGCAGTGTTAATCTGACCCCAGTTAAAGCACTGAGTATTACTTTCAATACATTTTCACCTTCAAACATTTCACCTCTCAAACATTAAAAGATTCAAAACCCCCAAAGTATTTAAGACTAAATTTATAACTTTCATTTTATAAGTGGTAATCTGAGATACAGAAAGAAGGATAAATGCTCGCTTTGGCAACACGTAAACTAGAAAGAAGGGTGAGTTTCCTCCACTATTCCTCAAGGGAGTAAAGCAAAACAAACAAAACAAAAACTGAAACAACAAAACCCATGTCTGTACAGGAATTTGTTTTTTTTTAATCAGTACCAGGGATTGAACTCAGGACTGTGCGCTTGCAGGGCAGGCGCTTACGCGGCTGAGCTAAATCCCCAGCCTCTGTACAGGAATTACAATATCTCATTCTAGGCTTTTTACTCAGATACTTGAGGGAGTCTTAATTATCATAAATCAGAAAGATAAGACTTTTTGTACCAGGGATTGAACTCACAACCTTGTTCTTGCCAAGTAGGCACTGTGCCACTGAGCTATGTCACTGGCAAGACATGGTTAAAATTTTCTGGACTTTCCTATGGGTCTTACCCTGCTGCCTAAGTCATCCTTCCTGTTAGCTGACTGAAACTCTCATTTGTATGAAGTCCCTACAATATCCTCTGTGAACCCAAATATACCAATAAGAGGTTAACAGTTTGAGATTGTTAGTAAGTAGCCTTCAGAATATTTTTTCTGGAATTAAAAAAAAAATTAGGTTCTAAGTAAGTAACAAAGCAGGATTTCCTGTCCCTTCCACCCCTATTTTCAAGAAAACTTATCTTTAAAGCTAATTTTCAACATTTTAATTTATGGAGAGTCCCTTACCTTACGTGGCACTTCCATTTTCAATGTTAATCTTCCTTCAGACTCTCTTATCTTCCCAAGATTAAGGGTGGAAGAAAGGTAGCTTTTAGGGAAAAATGGGTTTTTGCTGAACTATGCTTAGGGATCATGGGGTATAGATGGAATCTAGTCTTAATTTCTCAAAGTATTAAAAGACAGTTTTTTAAGAACTGTTAGAAAAAATAAAGTTTATTTATGTACAACAATACTTATAGAAGGAACATACTTAACCTCCAGATGGGAAGATTTCTCTGTATTTTCTGTATGTCTATCTGTTCTACAAAAACTACGTGTTATTGCCTGTTTTCCCAACACTCAGAAGGTTGAGGCAGGAGGATTCAAGGCTGGCTTGCGCTACAAAACAAGACCCTGTTTCCAAAAACCATAAAAAAAACCAAACCAAAACAAACTAACTCAAAATTATTGCTTTTCAATATGTTTTATTGTAATGAAACTGGCTAGAAACCAGCTGGTATGAAATTTTTTTTTCCAGATTCAAGAATGGTGTAAAGCTGGTATGAAATTAAGCAGAGAAATGGATGGTGTCTTGTTAATATGGACAGCCATTCAGAGCAAGAAACAGAAAAATCACAATTCCTTGACTAGCATATTTATACCAGAGTCCATTATTATTTTACCACAAAAGACTGAAGAATGACTCAGAATTATTATTTAAGAGCAAATAAAACAGTTTGTGCTAGTATGTGATC